TAGATTAGCTTTTGCAGTATCGCGAATTTGGATAAATTTGGAAAACTTGAACTGTATGGATTCAAAAAGTGTTTTGCTGTGAAAATAACGCTATGATCGTTCCACTTACGAACTTTTTAGTATTCAAGTCGACATAATTCAGTCTCTTTTGCAAACGTTTTGAACTGATTTGAGTATTGTCACATGCCTCACCGACCTTTCAGCATGACCTGGAAGTGTTACTCTTCCCATAGGGGATATTGGAGGGGGAAGACGGTCATAGATAAAATCAAGATATTCTTTAGTTTACGCATTGTTGATAATAAACACATCATTTTAGTCCATTGTAATCGATAACTGGACGTATTACCAGCACCCTAGCATACGCTAGAAGGTCAAAGTGATCGGGGAGCGTTCGTATGAAAAGTCCCCCTCCCCTCACCTAGGCGTAGTGGAGAATCTTACTCATTACGTGGATGGAAAGGTGCGATGTAGGTGTGAGGTAGGTGCGAAGGCTAGGTGCGAAGTCCCCGATCGTATGAAAAGTCCCCCCCCCCTCGTTTCAGATCTAAGTTGCCTAGTGGGTGCAATGAATAAGCACACTGAGTAACCTACCGTAAGCAAAAATCTGGAACGATTTGTGGAATATGACCTCCTGTGTCCAAGTGGACAATTCTGTATATCAGAAGATGCACCGCGCCGAGCTGAGTCGAATGGTAGCTTTAGATGCAGAATTCGTCCACTCTGAAGCGAGATATGGCCACGCGACGGTGATGTTCATGCATGATGCATCCTTTTTTTCAAAAAATGTGAGCGGTATTGTATTTTGTCACAATATTTGGGGAGGTCTAGGCAAATGTAATCACTGGTTTTTTGAGCGACTTTTTTTCGGCAAAGAACACATGCTCTAGGGCCCTTAAAGGCAGCGTCTCTCAAAGCCACGGGTACTGAGATTTCAGAGTGTTGCAATTATAGGCTCTCCGAATAACCTATCAGTGAAGTTTGGAGAGAAAAAGCGCATCTGGAAGGCTGAAATCCACTCCAGAAATCTTCCGGACCCCCACTCGATCCGGACCTCGCCCACTTACACCTAATTTTAGTGAATGCGATTTGGAGAACTTCGAAAAGAGCTCATTCTAGTCATTTTCGTGTGAGAAGCACAGATGTGATTCAAGCATGACGAGAACGCTCCGAAAAGGTGAAAAACTGAGAAGCAAAATTTTGCCGGGACACTGCCTTCAAAGACCATATATTTAAGAGAATACTGTCTTTCCGCTCCCATAGAATTCATAAGAAAAAACTATCTTGCTACTCCTGCAGAAAAAAAAAACAACGTCAAGCATTTATTAACGTACCCTCAAATTGCCCCAAGTGCCACCTAGGGATCGTCAATTATAAGAACTGCCCCAAACGTACAAAAATCTGTCTCCCTGCCTAATCAAAATGCCCTACGTGCCGCTTAGAGAGATGTCTATTCAAAAGAAAGTGCCCTACGTTGCCCTTAAAGACGTATTCATAAGAAAAAACTGCCTTACGACTCCCAAGAAATGCAACGAAATTGAGCATTTACTCACCACATAATCTCAAACTGCCCTACCTGTCACCTGGGGACTGTCTATTATGAGAACTGCCCCAAAAGTACAAAAATCTGTTCCTCTGCCTAAATAAAACGTCCTAGTGCCGTATATAGACCGATATCTATTAGCAAGGCGCCAACGGGACTCAGTAACACAAACAAAAGCAAGGCTGCTCAGAAACAAACGCTTCCAAAAGCACCAGCGAGAGCCAGTTAGTCCACGCTTTCCTATCTTGAAGCACAAGGTTATCGCGACTGAATGTCTTTAGAGCACTACCAAGAGTTTTACAAGAACATATATAAATTTCTGAGGTATGCAGTTACGCAATTTGGCACTATTTCAAAAGTAAATAGGAGCACATTTTTGACGAACACTTCTGGGATAACAAGCATGAAAGAATGTGCGAATAACACACCCGAACATTGGCGACCCGCTCTCAACGTCATCGCAACAGGAGTGAATTTCGAAACACGTGTTACCCTTTTACGAAAACTTGCTTCGGTCTCTCATTATGAAATGTGACAGTGGTCCAAAACACATGCCACTTGGCAGCAATCCAAAATCAAAGATCAGTACATTTCGTCATAATTTCTCCGTCTGCTGCCTCCTCGTTTGTCGTATTCCACGGATCAGGGGTGGCCAAGCGGTAAACAACGAATTCATTATATTGCGTAGTGATTACAGCGCCTAAATGCTTGTTGCAGATATAGACGGCATATGTTGTGTGACCTGTGCAGGTGCAGCCTCGACCCGTAGAGTTTGGGGTGATTTAGACTCGAAGCATCCAAAATGAACTCTAAATTTTTCTGGTTCAGCCATGTCAGCTGTAAATTACACCTGTAAGTGCATCAATAATGGAGTCGGTTAGATTATTTATAATTCATACATTTATTTGTATTCATACACGGTCTACAGGCTTAAACTCGTTCCATTCACGGAGCTGGACTTGAGCTTTTGGGGATATTTTGTCATTTTCTTTCTACTGTTCAAGCTCTAAGTATTTTGCTCTCTTTATTTCAAATATGGCACGCCTTGTGCGTATTGAATAAACAAATGAATAAATAAATAAATAAATTCAAGTCGGTCCTTCGATGCATCTATAACACGATACGCGTACTCCATATATCAGAAGGATCCGTGCGGTGCGCATATCTAAGTGTGTCGGGACGCAGCTGAGCACCGCCTGCTCTCCTTCCGTGGGCTGGCCAAGGAATTCAGATAAGAAGCCAGTGCCCCTGTACGACCGCGCCCCGTAAGGCTGCTCCAGCACTCTGTTCCCCCTTCCCCCTTTCTGTTATATGTAACTAATAAATATACATAACTAGCTGGCTTACCCGGCTCCGCCGTATCCGGATCAAACTTGGCACACATACACTTCGGGCCCCGGCGGGTGTCACAGTCCACTTTTCGTTATCGATTGATGTCGATTTTACCGATTTTTATCGATTTTTTTTTGCAGAGTTCACCTACAGGGCTAGGAGTTGGCACAGGGGGGGGGGAAGTGAGCATGGGGATTCCGAATACAATATTAGCTTTCAGAATTATCGATTACTTTTATTGATTTTATCGATTTTTTGTAAATTTTGACATGCGAGGCTGGGATTTTGCACAGGGGGGTAATCGAGCATGCTGATTACGAACACAATATTAGTTTTCAGGATCGTCCATTACTTTTATCGATTTTATCGATTTTTTTTGCAAAGTTTGACCTGCGGGGCTGGGAGTTTGCACAGGGGGGGGGGTAATCGAGCATGCAGATTACGAATACAATATTAGTTTTCAAGATCGTTCGTTACTTTTATCGATTTTATCGATTTTTTGTAAATTTGAGCTAGGGGGCTGGGAGTTGGCACAGGGGGGGTAAGCGAGCATGCTGATCATCCCCAAGGGGGGTGATCAGCATGCTCGCTTACCCCCCTGTGCCAACTCCCAGCCCCCTAGCTCAAACTTTGCAAAAAAATCGATAAAATCGATAAAAGTAATCGATAATCCCGAAAACCAATATTGTATTCGGAATCCCCATGCTCGATTACCCCCCTGTGCCAACTCCCAGCCCCGTAGGTGAACTCAGCAAAAAAATCGATAAAAATCGATAAAATCGATATCGATCGATGACGAAAAGTAGCCTATGACACCCGCAGGGGCCCGTAGCGTATGTGTGCCAAGTTTGGTCCGGATCGGTTCAGAAATGGAATTTTCTATTCGGAACATACGTACATACAGACATACATACATACATACATACATACATACAGACAAACAGACATTCATCTTTATATATAAGATAAGTATTCTGTACCACCGCTACACATCAGGAAAAGGGAGTCGACACCTTTTGAACCTGATGGTCCCAGGGAAGATTTTCTTTAGAATTCTAAGATGAACTTTGAGTTATCACTTTTTGATGGGATTTTTAAAAAATTGCACCCCCCCCCCCCCATACATCCATCGATCGTCTAGGAATTCACCCAACAACGAATGAGAGAGAGTTTGTGTGAGTTTTTTTTATATTAGTCGAATATTTACCGATAATTATACAAACATCTAATCATTTCAGAAAAATAAAATAAAATAAAAATAAACAGTCCTGCGAACAGTCCAATTATGTCAATTTTCGCTAAATTATCGGGATCCGTGAATATCTAGATAAAATACCACGAACCGTGAGTCCGTGAATGCCGTGATTTTTTTTGGAAAAAAAGCTTATCTGTGACTTTTTTGATAAAAAATGCAAGTCCGTGATTCCGTGATCCGTGAGCCGTGATCCGTGAATACCTAGATAAAATACCGAGCCGTGATTTATTTATTTTTTTGCAACCGTGATCCGTGAACTTCAATTAATTTTTCTTCTTCAATAAGACAATGGACTTGTTCGCATTCGCTAGCGTAAAAATTACAGATCTGAGTTAATTTCGATCCAGTCAGCTACTGGCCCATGCACAGAAATTCTCTGATGGGAAAAGTCGATAATTAGAGTCGCTATTGATACAGCGCAAATGCTTTGACCTCCTAGGCAATTACAACAAACCAGTGCAACTATCCAAGCGTGTTGACCTTTATCAGTGATAAAGTAGCGCAGCAGCCCGCTCGCGATTAAGCATTTGACCTCGCCGCAGACTAATCATATTTGCGCGCTACGGTCTAGCAAATACATTAATTGCGCATACTGACCTTTTATGATTATGATAAGCGTTTAGCAACAACAATTGTGACCGTTATCTGCCACTGCGTTTACTCTTACGTAATTTAGTTTTTTGATACACTATTTACTTAAGATGCAGTACTATCAAACAACAAAACATGGCATGATCAAATATTTATCATTTAAAGATAATTCTACACAGTAATAAAGAGCAAACAATGGTCAAGTGCACATGATATTTTTCCGTGCCTGTCGTACACGAGCGACGATCCCTTCCGTCGAAGCTGACGAGACGGATGCCTTCAATTCTGTCTAGGCTCCTCTCCAACATCGCCGCAAATCGTCTCGGCAGCGGTATCCGTCCGAACATATTCGTGACGGTTGGGTGCCCGAAGCCGAGACATAGACCTCATGGTCTCCCTTCCAGATGTTATCCGCACAGTCACTTCTAAAACTGTACGGAGCACCATGGGAGGTCCGCATAGGTCCTGAAAATATTTTTTTTTAAATTTCAATAGCTATCATCAAATAGGCCAAAACCCACCACAAATATGCGTGCCGTCGATGAGCAAAAGCGTTGAAGTCGCCTTCCCATCGCCCTGGATGTCGATGAAAGAACGACTCACGTTCCTTCTGGACATGCTCGCCAACATGAATTCTTCTCCCATGTCGGCGAGCAGCACATTATGTGTGCCTTCTTGATGCCCGCGTTTCAGAGGCAAATTCCTTCTTGCCTTGTACAGGTCGACGAGAAGTCTTTCAACTTCCTACAATCATTCAAATTATCAATAAAAAAAGCATATGTTTATAACACTACTGTAATTAAAATACTTACGTCTTCCTTTTCCTCAATCTTTCGCTGACATTCAGTAATTCTGGCACTGCACCGATTGATGCTTGCCTTGTGATCAGCCGTCGCCCGCTCGCTCCTGATCCTCTCGGTTTGGAGATCCAGCGCTAGCTGATTTGCCCTGTTTTCTTGCGTTGCAAGGGCACCCCTCACCCGTTCATTCTCCATTGACAGTCTTCCCACCTCTATTTGTAACGCATCAACTTTACGTAAAAGCTGTGAATTACGCGTAGAGTAACGATCGAAATGAGCATCGAATACCTGAAAAAAATGATGAATGGAATATTCCTTAGATCTTCATATATTTGAATGAAACAAAAACACTTACGTCCTCGAATTCAGAGTCGGTGCTCTCGGGTCCGTCCATGTAACTTGACATGATGATACGTGAAGTTGGAGTTTAGTCTAAATTCAATAACTTTGATGAAATGGAAAGAGAATAAATGAGCAATACTCTGTAATAAGTGAGGAAACGACCAATGTCAGTGCTAATAAGCGAATGATAGAGCATTCATGCATGACCTTACCTCCATGCAACTTATCAATCTCCTACTCACGCCCAAAATAGCGTAACCTTTTGATACACACGTACAGGACTATTCAGAATATAAAAAACATAAAGTAACAAAATATCAAATATGGGAATTATTACACTTTTTACCTCCCCCCCCCCCAAGTTTGGCCCTTATCTCTAGCCCCGCCCATTTATAGTTGCGTAATATCAGTCGACCCGCCCTAGACTGATAGTCTTGGATCATTCCACACACTGGTGTCCACACCAATCAGTCGTCTCCAAGCTTCCTCTCTATCCTCTTTCGAAGCTTTTACCGAGCGAAGTCCACTACAGTACACCAACTGTACCTCCGCCGCCCGCCGCTGTCGCTAGCCTGCAACCAGCCGACTAGCCTCTCCACCTACCAATACTATCTCGCTACCGACCAACAATCAAGCCTCTCTATCGACTCCAGCCTATCTCAACCGCAACCTGTGCAACGACTGGAATACAGGTGCGATCCACATAGGCCAGTAGTAACCCCCCCCCCCTTCATTTCAGATGATCTCAACTGAGGGGCTGAGTTGAGGTATTTAAGATAAACTGACTAACGGTCACTCTCACATGCTTAAGAATGCGACCTGATCTGAAAGGTTAGCGTCAGGCATGTGCCGCGATGAATTCACCTGAAATCCGTAAGAGCAGCCTCGATTTTGAGATGAATTGACCGAAATAGTGTGCAAGGAATGAGACGCAAAGAAAAATCCTGTAAGTTGCTCGTAAGTATTAGGCTGTCCGGAAATTAATGCAGGTTTTGAATTCCAACCGCAATAAGTCATACACTTCTCAATTCTAAGTAGGTTGCAATATATCATTCGATAGAGCAAAGCAAGCTCTACAAGATGGCAATTTTGATTTAGCAACAGCTCTAATCCAGCACGAGTTTCGAGCAAAAACTAAAAAGGTTCAACTGCCCGAATATTTGAAAAAAAATCGTAACTCAGTTCATAAGAATCCTACAAAAATTCTAACTTGCTCACGTAAACACTATCCACGTAAGGCGTGTATGTACGTCCTTGCCGTATTTTTTCTCGGTTAGAAACCAAGAAAACGAAGATTTTCATGTTTCTGCCAAAGTGATCCTGTGCCGTTCCCACATAAGTAGTTGTATACTACAAACCTGTAAAAGTGCAATCGTAAATTTCCAGCTCTCTACAAGCTTTAGTTATCGAGAAATTTGAATTTTAGCTTGAACCACATGATTAGGAAAACTGTATTCGATATTTCTCGAGAACTAAAGCTTGTAGAGAGCTGGAAATTTACGACTGCACTTCTACAGGTTTGTAGTATACAACTACTTATGTGGGAACGGCACAGGATCACTTTGGCAGAAACATGAAAATCTTTGTTTTTTTGGTTTCTAACCGAGAAAAAAATACGGCAAGGGCGTACATACACGCCTTACGTGGATAGTGTTTACGTGAGCAAGTTAGAATTTTTGTAGGATTTTTATGAACTGAGTTACGATTTTTTTCAATTATTCGGGCAGTTGAACCTTTTTAGTTTTTGGCTCGACTCGTGCTGGATTAGAGCTGTTGCTAAATCAAAATTGCCATCTTGTAGAGCTTGCTTTGCTCTATCGAATGATATAATGCAACCTACTTAGAAATGAGAAGTGTATGACTTATTGCGGTTGGAATTCAAAACCTGCATTAATTTCCGGACAACCTAATAACTTAAGGGACACTTACATAATATTGTAGACTAGAATGCGCGAAACTGCACAACCGCGCCCGAATAGGAGGGGATCGATGAACAGCTGATTTTGGCCAGGAAAACAAAAAAAACAAATTCCTCTCTTTTTTGTGAACTTCACCATTTTTTTGAAGTTGTCCAAAATGAGAACTTATTTGTTCATTTTATTAAATTCACGCTGCAACCATTTCGTTTTTTTATGTAATTCTCGTCACAAAATGTGTTTTTGTTTTATCCGCGCATTGCTAGGCGAAATCCTCGATAACGGTCATGATCGATTGCGATAGTGGCTGCTATCAAAGATTGACCGGCCTTTTTTACATTTGCAAATAATTTTTTACTTGTTTCCATCTGTGTCGATAGTGGTCCTTATTTGTCGGATTTTCGACGAATTTGCGGTTGCCTTCACGTTTGGTTACTCAATTTTCAATTCCATTCGCGTCGATAGTGGTCCTCATTTGTCGGATACCCGAAGAATTTACGATTGCCTTCGCGTCTGGTTGTTGAATTGAAATATATTTTTATTGGAACATTTTAAATTATCTTTCCGAATTCTTTTTACAAAACATTCACTATTAAAGTGTTTTCGTTACATGAACAGTTCTGACACTGAATTCAGTTCTTGTGCCTCTCCAAAACCGTGTAACACAACCGAGCGTGGGACTATTAAAAGAATATTAAGATTGCATTCGCTCATATCGCATAACATCCATAGAGTAAGGTGCAGTGAGTACAGTCTGCCCCAATCCCAAACAGGCCAAAATTGGCATGGCGGGAGTCCGCGGCTAGGGTTTCGCGGTCACGCCCACGGCCTGCTTCTCTGATCTCTTTTCAATCCTTTTGCTCTCTCCGACAGCGCGCGTATGTAGCGCAGACCGCTCGCGCTACGAGCGCAAACTTACGACGACGGTTCAGCCTGGTCCCCATCGGAGCGGACTGTATAAATCAACTAGCCCTATCAAACGTCGTGCAGCTTCTCCCCCTACTGAAGTTTCTTCGTTGGCTCCAACAGAGGTTTCTTCCATAGTTTCTTTAAATTCTTCATCTCTTCGCTCGTCACCAAAAACAGGAAACTCTCGAGTTTCTACCCCTCCACTAGAGCAACCTCAAACTTCAGTAACTCAAAAAGAAACACCTATTCTTACAGCTCAAGAGCCAACTCAAATTTTAATTCCTGTAACTCAAGACCAGCCTCAAGTTTTTGGATCTCAAAAAGAGGAATATTTTATTCCTATTACCCAAGAGCAAGCTCAAGCATTAACTTCTCAACAGCGGTCCTAAAAGCGATACTGCAAATCGCCAATTTTTACTGGAGATCAAGGACCCAAAGGTCTTAGGCAGTTCATCACACAATTCGAAGAAACTTCAGAAAATATCGAACAACCTCAGTCTGTCAAACGAACATCTCGTTTACAGCCGAGCGAATCATTTAGAGCGGATCCAAACCTCGATCTTGAAGAAGAGGATGAATAACTATTTACAAATCACCTGAAAAGTAATTTTGCAAGCAAATAGTTATCCATTCTCTAAGGTTAGTTTGTTTCCTTATTTTCGCCGCAACGTCGCGTATACACAAACCAGAATTTTTTTGAAAAGGCAAATTCAAAGAAACCGTTTGCACTAGGCAGCATTAAAAAACCCTTTTTTCGATTTTGCCCCTATGTTGGATGCACAATGTTGTGCAACACTCAATTCAATATTTGATGCCGCTTGATGCCACTCTTATTTGTATCAACAAATGCCTTATATACTGTGTAATTACGTCACTCAAATCAAATGGTCCAATTGCCTGGTTATAATATTTTGAGTAATATCATACATTAAATCGCCTAAACTTATTTATATAACGTACACTCCAAAAATCACTTCTGTATTTCACCGCCTAATACACTGTTAACTATTTTGTGCTCAACAACACTGTTCTATTATTAACATGTTCTACAACAAATGCCTTCCACATAACTTCCTCGTATCAACTGTCGAATACCGGTCACTTATGCTCCTACAAATCTCCACAACAATTATTCCACTTTGCCAATATCTGGGAATACGTTCCAACACTTTCTACAACCACATGTCACTGCCTCTTCCAAGCAGTCCCACGTCACCTTTCATTCCGTATATCTCTTAGCTTGAGGACAAGCTTACTTAGTACCCCTAGGATGAGGTGAAGGTCGTTGTTTGGTTATCCAATCCGCCTAAACCGACTCCTCTACTCAATCAACCTGAAGACAATGGTACTCAAATCGAAGTTCTCTATGGTCTCGCCGTAGCACGTGTACTCCTTACACACGTAACTCGGAAGACGTCCAACAAGCCGAACAAGTTCGAGGACGAGCTCTCTCAAGGAGTGGAGATGTCGGGACGCAGCTGAGCACCGCCTTCTCCTCCCGTGGGCTGGCCAAGGAATTCAGATAAGAAGCCAGTGCCGTACGACCGCGCCCCGTAAGGCTGCTCCAGCAGTCTTTTCCCCCTTCCCCCTTTCTGTAATATATGTAAATAATGAATATACATAATAAGTATTCTGTACCACCGCTACACATAAGGAAAAGGGAGTCGACACCTTTTTAACCTGATAAGTGTAGATCATAGTTGATCATTGTTGCTTCCAGAGTTAAATAGCCCTCTTTAAACAGAATTCGCAAAAAAAAAGTCGATGATTCCATTAGTGGCGTCGTCTTTCACTCTTATTGGAGGGACCTACTTTCTCAGAAATTCGTTCAAATTGTCTTTCGGGGCAGGGGCCAAATATTGCAGGCTCGTCGAGCGCGTAGGAATGTGAGATATCTGGCGGATTTTCTTACTTTTGCAATATCGGAGCCAATTCATACAGCAGACGCTCCCGGCAGATACACAGACTCCTCTTTTGTCTTAAGAGAGCCTCTCAAAAAGAGAATCACGCCTTTCGAATACAGGACTTTATTCGTAATTTTGACAGCTCAACCTTTACTTTGGCAAGTTGGTCTGAGGTTTCACATACTTTGGATCATGAATTCGAAAAGGTTACATTTTTCAAACCAGTATGCAAAAGAGCTCAACTACGCAGTCGAGGACTTTCAAGCAGAAACGGATATTTTCGAAATGTGGACGATAATGCCAGGACATTTTTTAGAGACGCTTGTCAAATCGAGTGATTTGATGAGAGTAAAGACGAGTAAAGAGAAAAAAGTTGTGGGAGAACGGGAAGAAAGAAGGAGAAGAAGATTCATCAGGCAAAAAAAGCGTTCCATAAGTTTTGAAAACACACAACAATTGATTGCTTACCTTCTTTTCTCTCAGTTATGTTCCAGCGAACAGCTTCTTCACTATAAAACTTCACGCACGACTGAGCGTCTAAGCAGTCGTATGTTGCTTCTCTCGACTTGCTGTTCGTTCCTGAAAAAGGAAACTTCATTACGAACAACTGTTAAAGAGAAATGAATTTACCTCCAAACGAAATCCTAAAGTGTTTGAGTATTTCGATATCCCCTTCCTCAAGCGCGCGTCCTCGAAACATGGTCCCATGCCGATCGGCTGGGTAGCACGACATTGCTCTTAGGAATTTCCATTCAGCGTAGTTTGCAGGAACTTTTCCACTTTTGCAGAAGTTCCCAAGCGCTTCCTCCGAAACTTACCGTCCGCGGACTCGCCATCATAAATTACGCGAGGTTCCTTTTTTTGATTTCGCAAGATTTCTGTGCTTAACAAAGTCCCCGGAACTTCAACGATTTCGGCGTGTTCGCTGGAACTTCCCGGCACCTGTCTTAGTAGTGCTCATTTACGCTTGTATATAAAAGTTACTTGAGAAGAGGATGAAAACAGAACTGATGATGCCACGGTATTGTTTTGCTGGTGTAGCGAAGAAAATGCTGGAATCGTAAATTCCTGAAAATTCTGCATATTTTAGTCATTTTCAAAAAATGAAGACAAATCGAATTTTAAATTTACCTGAGAGGAGGACGAAAACAGAGCTGATGATGCCATAGTATTGTTTTGCTGATATAGCGAAGAAAATGCTGGAATTGTGGTTTTCTGAAAATTCTGCATATTTGGTCACATAATAAATCAAAACCAAAAATTAAAGAAATCACATTTACCTGGTTAGGAGTATAATTAGAAGAAATATGTGGCTATGTGCGCCCATACACTTCAGAATACGAGCATGAATTGACATTGTCGATGTGGAAATCAGCCTCTTTTTGCTATTTATACGCATATTGTCGTTGGCCTCGTCTGGAGGTGTGAAGTTAAGGGTCGTAACCCTGAGGTCAACAGATTCATGGGACACTACATTGATGAGCACACATTTTTTTTCTATATTTCGGAAGATTTCACATCACTTATGAAAATTCCATTGTGCTACTGTATTTTATCATGCCTATGTTCTCCGTGAAGCTTTTTTGGAGTACTTTCATACTGCAATTGTTTGAAATTCATTCTCTTTCTTAGCAGCCAAAATATGATCAAATTATCCAACTAAATTCCTGATGATAAGCTCGCGTCGAAGCTCCTGCTCCAATCGGTTTCACATCTCATTGTCAGAAATATGTCTGAAGGAGATTTTAAAACAAAGGAATTTTCCGTGCAACTAATTTGCCAGGAGCATCAAGAGCGCTTTGCTTTATTAAAAGCATAAAATTTTGTTTAATTGAAAATCTACAAAGTTTACTTTTTTGAAATTCCCGCTGACCGGCTGGATCAGATTATCACAGTTTCTTTCTGCAAAATAATGCGAAGTGAAGTTTGTGTATGAATTTCGTTTTTATTCGCGCATTTTTTTTTTAAATTTTACTATCTCTTTTCTCTGAGTCGCAAGCGCCAGCGCTTTTGCGAGCTAGGTGAGCTGTTCTAGCAGCTAGGATTTGGTGTATCGTTAGTACCCGCTGATAAGTAACAAAAGGGCGTTGCTTGGTGTATACCACTGTAAAGTGCAGTTCATAATTATACGAACACCCCAAACTTTAGAAATTTCTGGACTTTTTGACAGAAACTCAAAAAGCCATTGGTACCACGCGAAAGAGCACAACCGAAAACGGTATACGATCCATAAGAATGAAAATGGATGTCAATTTCGGGGGTGTTTTTGCGCCTAGTGCGAATTTTTCAGCGGTTCATAATTATACGAACACCTCAAACAAAGGTTCATTTTTTATTCAAGATTGCAGTCAATTGAGTCTAAGTTTTTTGTGAAGCTACAGTAACAAAGTCTGACGTGTCCGCTACCTACTGAACCCAGTGCAGTTCAAAAAGAGGACCGTTACCTTTTTCAGAAGGCTCTAAATGCTTCTGGAGTGATTGCGCTCCAAAAACATCCGTTCTTCTGCGGTTTACGCGCTCTAATTAGCTTCTACCAAAGCTATGAGATAAAATAAGCTCTTTCGATAGGTATTTTGTCTGATGCCTGGAATATCTTTGCGTTTTCGTGCCGTTTTTCAGCCAAGTTCCAACCTTATCTTAGAGTTAGCACGATTTCGAGCCTCAAAACTCAGCTTCTGAAGCCGTATAATGAAGTAAGCATATAGTATGTAGAAAGTCACAAAACTGTATATTTGGCTAGAAAGAATCAGCAGCGTTGAGCGTTTGTTTTGGCCACGCAAACGTCATTTCATCAAAAACACTGCTTTTACTTTTGCAATCACACCTTTATTTGGTTTGTAGCTCCACAGCCTCAAGACCAGTTCCACAAAAAACCCAAAAACTTTGGCACAGAAACATCATCATGTAAACAATGCAGCTGCTTCATATCAAATGTTTGCGCGAGAGAGAAGCTGAGTTTTGAGGCTCGAAATCGTGCTAACTCTGTGGTAAGGTTGGAACTTGGTTGAAAAACGGCACGAAAACACAAATCCTTCTATATATATAAAACCGAATGGGATTTTGTCTGTACACTGGTGGCTTGTCTGTACGCTGGTGGATAAGCATGCTTGTTGATGCTGTCTGTAGGTCCTCGATGGTGTTTTCGTGTTTGTCATTTTCCAGCATGGAAGCTTGTTATTACTTCTACCAAATTTATCGATTATTTGTAAATTTTGAACTACGGGGCTGGGAATTGGCACAGGGGGGTAATCGAACATGCTGATTACGAATAGATAACCATTTTCGATAAAGCTTATTACTTTTATCATTTTATCGGTTTTTTGCCAAAGTTCAAGCTACGGGCTGGGAGTTGGCACTCGGGGGTAATCGAGCATGCTGATTACGAATATGATAACCATTTACAAAAATGCCCATTACTTTTATCATTTTATCGATTTTTTGGCAAAGTTCAAGCTACGGGGCTGAAAGTTGGCACACGGGGGTAATCGAGCTTGCTGATTACGAATTTGATAACCATTATCAAAATTGCCCATTACTTTTATCATTTTATCGATTTGTTTGCAAATTTTGGACTACGGGGTTGGAAGTTGGCAAGGGAGGGTAGGCGAACATGCTGATTACGAATACAATACTGGTTTTTAGAATTATCAGTTATTTTTATCATTTTATCGATTTTTCGGCAAAGTTCAAGCTACGGGGCTGGGAGTTGGCACGCGGGGGTAATCGAGCATGCTGATTACGAATACAGTATTAGTTTTTAGAATTATTAGTTATTTTTATCATTTTAGCGATTTTTCGGCAAAGTTCAAGCTACGGGGCTGGGAGTTGGCACGCGGGGGTAATCGAGCATGCTGATTACGAATGCAGTATTAGTTTTTAGAATTATCAGTTATTTTTATCATTTTATCGATTTTTCGGCAAAGTTCAAGCTACGGGGCTGGGAGTTGGCACGCGGGGGTAATCGAGCATGCTGATTACGAATGCAGTATTAGTTTTTAGAATTATCAGTTATTTTTATCATTTTATCGATTTTTCGGCAAAGTTCAAGCTACGGGGCTGGGAGTTGGCACGCGGGGGTAATCGAGCATGCTGATTACGAATACAGTATTAGTTTTTAGAATTATTAGTTATTTTTATCATTTTAGCGATTTTTCGGCAAAGTTCAAGCTACGGGGCTGGGAGTTGGCACGCGGGGGTAATCGAGCATGCTGATTACGAATGCAGTATTAGTTTTTAGAATTATCAGTTATTTTTATCATTTTATCGATTTTTTGGCAAAGTTCAAGCTACGGGGCTGGGAGTTGGCACACGGGGTTAGTCGAGCATGCTGATTACGAATATGATACATTTGCAAAAATGCCCATTACTTTTATCATTTTATCGATTTTTGCAAATTTTGGACTGCGGGGTTGGGATTTGGCACGGGAGGGTAAGCGAACATGCTGATTACGAATACAGTATTAGTTTTTAGAATTATCAGTTATTTTTATCATTTTATCGATTTTTTTGCATGGTTCAAGCTACGAGGCTGGGGTTTGGCACACGAGGGTAATCGAGCATGCTGATTACGAATATGATAACCATTTTCATAAATACCCATTACTTTTATCATTCTATCGATTTTTCTGCAGATTTTGAACTACGTGACTGGGAGTTGGCACACGGGGGTAAGGGAACATGCTGATTACGAATACAGTATTAGTTTTTAGAATTATTAGTTATTTTTATCATTTTAGCGATTTTTCGGCAAAGTTCAAGCTACGGGGCTGGGAGTTGGCACGCGGGGGTAATCGAGCATGCTGATTACGAATGCAGTATTAGTTTTTAGAATTATCAGTTATTTTTATCATTTTATCGATTTTTTGGCAAAGTTCAAGCTACGGGGCTGGGAGTTGGCACGCGGAGGTAATCGAGCATGCTGATTACGAATACAGTATTAGTTTTTAGAATTATTAGTTATTTTTATCATTTTAGCGATTTTTCGGCAAAGTTCAAGCTACGGGGCTGGGAGTTGGCACGCGGGGGTAATCGAGCATGCTGATTACGAATGCAGTATTAGTTTTTAGAATTATCAGTTATTTTTATCATTTTAGCGATTTTTCGGCAAAGTTCAAGCTACGGGGCTGGGAGTTGGCACGCGGGGGTAATCGAGCATGCTGATTACGAATGCAGTATTAGTTTTTAGAATTATCAGTTATTTTTATCATTTTATCGATTTTTTGGCAAAGTTCAAGCTACGGGGCTGGGAGTTGGCACACGGGGGTAATCGAGCTTGCTGATTACGAATTTGATAACCATTATCAAAATTGCCCATTACTTTTATCATTTTATCGATTTGTTTGCAAATTTTGGACTACGGGGTTGGAAGTTGGCAAGGGAGGGTAGGCGAACATGCTGATTACGAATACAATACTGGTTTTTAGAATTATCAGTTATTTTTATCATTTTATCGATTTTTTTGCATGGTTCAAGCTACGGGGCTGGGAGTTGGCACACGAGGGTAATCGAGCATGCTGATTACGAATATGATAACCATTTTCATAAATACCCATTACTTTTATCATTCTATCGATTTTTCTGCAGATTTTGAACTACGTGACTGGGAGTTGGCACACGGGGGTAAGGGAACATGCTGATTACGAATATCATAACATTTCAGAAAATACCCCTTACTTCTATTGGTTTAATTGATTTTTTGCAATGTTTGAACTATGGCGTTGGGGATTGGTGCAG